GCTGGCTGTAGCCCCTGAGTCCCAGGGCAGTACTGAAATGCGAGAGTAGCATTTAATGCACAAACTCTAGCGGGCATAGGGTGTACTTATAAAGTAAAAGTACTGTGCATAATGTTTGTTCTTTTAATAGCAATTGTCTGGACAGTACATAATTGTTTTCTGTACATGTCATTTATATACATACAGTAAATTAACAAAGCATAGCCTCGAATATCTAAAAACAGATTATACCCATGATCAGATAATCCATGCAATGCAAGCAAGAACGCAAATGACATGGCATTCTGCCATCATATCAAGAAAAAAGGCTGTACAGTAATAAGCAACGTTCAGGATAATAAAAACTTTACCTTGTTAAAGGGCCAATAATCCAAAAATACAGGTTGGCTTACAAAAATAGGCTGAAGAACATTTACAAGGTTATTTACTAAAGGGTGAAGGGTTTAGAGAAGGCAGGAGAAGTGAACAATCTAGGACAACATAGCTGAACTGGAAAGTGAGCTGAAATTGAGTATTTTTCCAAATTAGCTATGTTGTCCTAGATTGTTCACTTCTCCTGCCTTCTCCAAACTCTTCACCCTTTTGTGAATAGCCTGTTAGAGAGGTTTCCGGAGAACTTGTATAATGGAAAATATTTTGAAAGAGGCAACATTGCTCTACAATGGCTTCTTTTCTGGCACCCATGGCTGATAGCAGAAAACAATAGCTTGCATTTAGGAAGTGTTCACACAATGTGAATTATATATATATATATAAAAATAAAGTGTTTAAAAAATATTTTGACTAATTTAACTTGAATTTTCGGTTGAGTGGTCCTTTGACATGATATATAATTCTCTATAAATTTCCTCTTGTAGAATACTTTGACAAAACAGATGTGCACAATATATTGGTGACTACCTACAGCCTACATGTGCACAGATAAGCAATTTATGGGCTACACTTCAGTGTATTCATTCATTGTCAACCACAGACCTTCGCTATTGTCAGCATTTCTTAAGGAAGAACACCACTCAGTATTAATTGTATCCAAGATGGCTATTACATTTTTGAAAAAGAAACAATAACCCTTTAGTTTTTTTTTGCTTCCTACATGTTCAGGTTTTTATGTATTTTATAAACCGCCATTTGACTTTGAAGGAGTTGTTTTTTTTAAAGGAAGACACAAAGTTTTGCTAAAATAATGGTTATTCCCAGCAACTTTACCCTCCTCTGTGAACTTTAGGACATATTCAAAATGCTCACAAGAAAAACCTTTAACAAAGTGTGGTTGAATGATAAAAAGTCATAGTTTGTGTTTCAAACATAAAAAAGAAAAATCAATGCATGGAACATTATTGTATGAGCCCTGTTCCAACCTGCCCAGGGCCAACCCACAACTAGAGAAAAAACTTGCGATTTTGCTAAACTCCTGTCATTGTAGGCCCAAACAATAGGAGAGGGGACATGGAGAGGCTTGCAATTTTTGAGTTTTTTTCCCCAAATACGGATGTTCTCCACCTCTTACGCCATATGACATTTACTTATATGCATATTTATAAAGAATAGATGATTTTAAACACATGCAACTTGAAGATTGATGTGCAGTGAATGTCAGCGATTATGAGATTCACTTCTTTATAAATATGCCCCTTAAAGACATGCAGGAATGTTTTTTCCACAGTCATTTTAAAATCTGTACAACTCACATTCAGTAAATAAAACATGAAAATATGCTGCCTCTATGTTGTATAAGAGTGCTGCCAAATTATATACTATTAAAGTGTTTAGGAACGGGGAAGGGTTATAACCTATTTTGGGTTTTATTGATGGGCGAGTCCCATTTGCAGATGCCTCACTGTCTCATGACAGGAGGTGATGGGAAATACCTGCAATGGCCCCACCGACAGCAGTAAAAACTAACAGAAGTTCTACCCTTTCCCCGCTCTATCTATACTCTGGTTTCCTCCCACACTCCAAAAACATGCTGGAAGGTTAATTGGCTCCTGTCTAAATTGGCCCTAGTGTACATGTAAGATAGGGACTTTAGATTGTAAGCTCCTTGAGGGCGGGGACTGATGTGAATGGACACTATGTTAAAGCGCTGCGTAAAACTGTCGGCACTATATAAATACCAATAATAAATAATTTTAAATTAGAACAGATTAGCTAGGAAAATATTCTATCCCCAAAAGCCCTCAAACATATTAACCAAAGCCTGCAGTAAGGGAATGTCTTACTGTTATAGTTTGGACTAACTAAAAAAAATAAGAATTAATGTTTTGTCAAAAGTTCATTTAATTTATTATTCTATTTAAAAACACAGAACACAAAGTAATAATGTGCATATGCCACTTGTAACCAACCTTATTTTAGCTTTTGGTCTAGGCTGGTTTGATGGTCTACTATGGTCTAGGTTAAGTTACCTATAAAAAAAAAATCTCAGGGTCTATCTATAAATAGTATCACACAAGATTTACACATTTTTCTAATTGGAAATCTGTGTGCATCCTGGCTGAAAGTAGAGTAAAACAACCCCTCCAATCCCAACAACCCTCTCCGCACTCACCTATTTGACCATACCCCCTCCACAACATCAGCATAAATCTTGTGCCCATGGGCACAACTGAGGCTGGTTGATGCCTCAGAGCCCACAGCAGCTAATTTTTCCGGTGTGTACCCATGATGTGACATCGATATGGCCATGGAAAATTAGCACCCCTAGTTCTAAAACATCTCATAAAAGAGGAAACTCGTGGTATAAAATGTCTTGATAACTCCTCTATAATACTCCAAAGCTCATTGAAAACAGGAACTGTGACGTAAAGGCTTTAGTCTCACTGGTGCACTGCCCACATGCATTAAAGCAGTCTGGCATGCACTTAAAAGCAGTTAACCGTAACACCCTAGGGCTAGGCCAACAGGTATGGAGGACATGTAATGGGTGGCACATTTTTTTTCTCCAGTGATGTGCATTTTTTATGTAAGCGAACTGGAAAAGGTCCTTCAAAATGTTGCAAAAACATTTTAAAAAATTCCCATCCATTTATTTTCAAATGGGGTGCACCAGGGATTCAATATGATGTCTGTTTGGTGATTCTCACATCAATGTTATGTGTCAGGGCACTAGAGCCGCCCATCTTGCAATGAAATTGAAACTAGTCTTACTGTCTATGTCACCTGCATGATTGTACAATGATAAAAAACAAAGCTGTATACATTCAATGCATGTCTTAAAGTGTACATCAGGTATTTATTGAGGTATAGAAAAGTTGAACAGTGGAGTTGCTTCATTTGATCCTCCAGGTTTCTAACTTGGGTAATGCCAGTTTAATCAATTTTATGGAAAGCTAGCCATAGACTGTGATATATTTTTCAGCTGTTATAATAAAAGGTGCAAAATATAATGGCTTTCTTAAGTAAGGTATACACGGTTCGAATTTCGTACGAAAGTAGCCGTTTTTGGAACGTTCCTGAAAATTTTCGAAGCAGCATGTTGGAAATTTTTTCTGAGCGAATTTCTAACAGTCAATGTGGCTTTCGTTCGGAAACTCCATTCATTCCAAAATAGAATATTAGATAAAGGCGAAACTTAACAGGGTTATTCACAAATAGGTGAAGAGCTTGGAGAAATTAACAATCTAGGACAACAAAGCTGAACTGGAAAGTGAGTTAAATTGGAGACATTTTCCAAATCAGCTGTGTTGTCCTAGATTGTTCACTTCTCCTGCCTTCTCCAAACTCTTCACCCTTTTGTGAATAACCCTGTTAATTTCAAATGACAACCGGCAGGTTTCTGATGTCAGTATGGGACGTTCCAACTGTGTTTTTCGTATAAATGTTTGTGCAAAAATCTACCCGTGTATACACAGCTTTACCCTTTCTCTACTTCATTCAATTTATAATTGTTTTTTTTACATTTGCAAATTAATGTCCTGCAAATGTAGTGAGTTTTTTTTTTACCCAACCATAAAAGCAGATACAAAATGTAAGAGTCTCAACAAGCCCTTACAATAATATTTGTGTCGGCAAGGACAACAGCTAGACTGAATGACAGTAATCTTTAGACCGGATTGGATAAATAGTGATATTTAATGAAATATGGGTTAGTCTATTACCAGCTTAGATGTTAAGCCCATAGGAAGCGAATATTTCAGCGTTGGCTAGATGCTGGTGTGTTTAATCACCTACTGGTTTCCACTATTTCTCTGGCATTTCAGTGGTGATGCCTTTGAATCCTTAGTCCGACCAACTTGCCACAAATATTAGAAGGAAGTACTGGATTTACCATTTATTCATACTACGGGGAATGTAGTGAAATGGGTCATACATATAGATATATAAGAAACCAGGAGATGTTTTAAGTCACTGTCATTCCTTCAAATCAAACTGTTTCAAGTGGACTTTGCCTTAAAATGTCCACACTCCGCCTCTCTTTGTGAAAATGCAGGATGACGTTTATTATCTAATACACTCATTAGCATACTATATATAATATTGAAATGCATTCTCTAAAATTAAACTACCAAAGTGTTGAACAAATTAAATGCTTTAACATATATAATCTTCAAAAGCATTTTACTTATTTAATAGCTACCCAGTGATCCTTAAACATACTACATGCAAATACTCTATCCCCCAAACATTTTACAAAAACTATACATTTCAAGACAGAAGCCGCTGACTTGGTCAGATTATTTTGGCAGGCACTGTACGTACATACCATGTACAGAAACATGCCAAATTTTCTTTGCATTGCTATTTGCATTAGACAAGTCTGAATTCTGATATATTTCAAGCGGTTACATTTACAAGGAAATTTGCAGTTCCGTTATTTATATACACATTACATAAGAAGTTCATTAGTGTTTACACATACATTTTCCCCCTTCCTAAATTTTTTTTTTCACTCATTGCTCTTGTCGAAGGGTTTGGTGAAGTGAATGCAAATGCATTGCCAAGGTACTTGTAACTTCTCTTGTGCTCAATGACATCATCAGTATGAGACAAACAATTGAAGGGAACACTTCAACGCACATTAAGAACTGTGATTTCTGAATCCGCAAGTCCCCTTGTGATAATATTGAAGCTCTATCTACATGACATGTTACAAATGGGCTCAGTTTGGACGTAACAGGAAGTTTGCTGGCTTAGAAAGAGTTTGACATCTCCGGGAAGGTCACAGAAGATTGATGTGCCTACGTTCACTAAGAGGTTTGGCAGAACGGTCGACACATCTACAAAAGTGCAGCCCCAATGCTTCGTTGACAGTGCTGTGTGAATGTATAGACACTTCCTCTTCATGCATTGGACCAAGCATTGGTTTTCACATTGTCCTGAAAATAGGTTAACTAGAAGATCTACTAATAGTACACTCTACTGCTATTATACATTGCATTCATTCTTTATTCCCCCCCTAAATGTCAGTATTTACAATTAAAAAATTAATACATTATTTACACCAGGCCAGAATTCCGGTTCCTGTGCTTATGTGGATACAATGCCTAAGTAGGCTTTACCAAACTGATAGAAGAGTCATCCTAACTAGACAGTTAATACTGGACTTGTGAGAAGGAGGTCCACTCTGCCTCCATCTTACAACTTCCTAGAAAGGGCCTGTTGTACATTCTCTAAGAAGGAAGAAACTGATTGGAAAATGAAGGCGAAGATAGGCAAATAACACTATTTGCCATCATTGCGGTGATGTATTAAGAAAGAATGGAAGCTGAGGTGAGGGGTTTAGGCAGGGGTTGATTTGTTTTCTACTCTTCACGTAGCTGTAGACAATAGCGGTGGTAGCGAAGCTGAAAGAACATTCTCTCTAGTAATGAATGTGTCATCCCTGGGACAGAGTGGTTTTCAATGACGCCCACATGCTTAAAACCCAAAGACTCATACAGCTTGTGAGCTGCTATTTTCACAGCTGTAGTGCCAAGCACAATGGAGGAGTAGTGGTTTAACATGGCAAACTCCAGGACTTTGCGACCTAATGCCTTGGCGATTCCCTTCCCACGGTAGTTGGAATCTACAGACATCCGTCTTAGCTCGACTACGTTGTCTTCTTCATTGCCTCTTGCTGCCACTATTCCAACGATTTTGCCATCCAGGACCGCCACCCAGAAGCAAGAACCTGCAGAACACAAATACACATCAGACAAGGGATGGTCTCTAAGAAGTGTTTAAAAAGGGAGGAATTCCAGTTTACACATAACCCCCCTGAATGCTTTTACCACTTTATGTAGTATCACAATGGTCCATCTCCCCAACCATAACTTAAGGTAGCACTATATACTTTATATAAAATTTGGAACAGACTATTCCCACTTCCACTATAGTCAAGCAGTTGTGGGTAGGAGGAACTATTTATGGTACACCATAATTAGGGTATAAGCAAATAGAAAATTTTCAGCTTCAACAAAGTAACCAAAAGACTTTTGCTATTACCTTTGTAAACCAAAAATGCCTCTTCCGTGCCCCTCTGATCATGATTTAATTTTGTTACTTTACTCTCCCTACATCTAACTTTGGAGCTTAGCGCTTCCCGCCAACAAAACTCATTAGATACTGCAGTGATGAGTCTTAGCCGCAAAGTCCTAAAAACAGGATCAGAAAGATACACAGAAAAGGATTTTCTGGCAAGTAACGGGAACTATGTAGTGTCTACTATGAGGCATATATTTAAAATGGATGACAGGTTTACTTTGTATGGAAATAGTCTTTAAAACCTGGCTCTATCTTTCCAGCAAACGTGATAGTGGGAAACATTTTGGGTTTCCTTGCCTCACTACTGGAGAGTGTAATGGACAGACGTAACTGTAACTATGTGACATTATCTCAAAGCAAAACAGTGTCATTTCAGTAATCTATGTCATGTGATACAGTGGGGGAGGCCCCAAATTGGCACCTTGCTCCATGTGGGGTGATCTTCCTAATTTCAAAGAGGGCCCTAATGTAGACAATGATGAGGGGAACCAAAATATAGTGTCAAATGGAGATGTGCCATCCAAATGCAAAGAACATTGCCAAACTTTAAGTTTATTATTGGTACTATTTAGCATGCTGTCTACAGATTAAACTGCACATAGTATTCAGCAATATCTCTAAGTTTCTCCACTGATGACACCATTTAGAGGATTAAAGGCTTCAAAATGGTTTCTTAAACTGCATTCTGGGGGACAGCATCAGTCCTTATGGCACAGAACTGAATGAAAAACTCTTGGTATTGTCCACACCAATGACTTACCTTCTACTTTTAATTTCCAAACTTATGGAAAACTAGGCAGTGGTTGTTATGGGCAACAAATATAACTCTTCTTTCAGACATTTGTATATGTGATGCCCTTGTTGATTAGATAAACAGTGACAGTTCTGAAATCCATCATAGATTATGTTAAAGAAAGGCGATAGAGTGAAAAGTACAAAAATTGTTCCTAAAGAAAAAAACAAATCCAAGTGTGTGTCCTTATTGAGGGTCTGAACTGGCAAAGAGAGATAGAAGTCATAGATTCCTTCACCCTAGGCTCCACCCTTCTCTGTGACTCCAATGTTAGTATAGGGCTTGTACATGCTTTAGTTATGTAAAGATGTGAAGCAGGCCACTTGGGATCCAAAACAATTTGCTGCCCACACACTGAATCATTTTTTTTTAGCATATGTTTTAGGTATAAGCATTGGGCATGTAATGAGAGTAACCCAGAGTCTTCCATTGCTGACCTCTCTTAAAAATGCTAGTTGCCTGGTTGTAATGCTGCTCTCCTTGCTTCACAATGGAATCATTCATCTGAAACAACTATGCAGACAAGGCCTTTGGACTTTTCTCTGATTTGCTTGATCAGCATAGTTGTGTGGGGGTTAGGAAAACTGCTAGGCAAGTAGGTCAGCAATGGCTGCTTCTGCAAAGTTAAACATAAAAACAATAATAATAATATATATATATATATACATATACTGTATATACATATATATATAAAACATAAGTTACAGAATGCAAAATCAACAACTGTTTCTGAAAATAGGCTGTGTGAATATTTTACTGATTAACACAACACATTATTTGCAGTTAAACAGCAATTAGATATCCAACCCCTTTACCAAACACCAGAGTTTCATGGATCCCTTCTATTTATTGTAGCATGCTGTTGTTTATATGAAGCTTTATGTGACTATTGTCTTTGTTTTGGCATAAAGATATTTCAGGTACAAAATATGAAGCAGAGCCCCTTCTTACATGCAGATTAGGCCCTTCTCTTTTCAAAAAAGAAACTTACAAAATAGATTAGGTTGTGGAAGGCAGGTCAATGGTGTTCTAAGCTGAATGGCAGTTCATGCTATGACACTTAAGGGTCCATGTATAAATGCTCACAGAGTGATTGTCTCTGTAAACAAAGATTCACAGCACATTATGGCCACTAGACAGAGTTGAAGAGCTTATACATTTCCAATGCTCCTTGGCTCCATCTAGAGGCCATAATATGCTGTAAATCTTGATCACAGAGACTATCGCTCTGCGAACATGTAATAAATAGACCCCTTAAAGTGCATCTGTGGACAAAGCAACAGGTTCACTTTACGATCTGTGTCCATTGGCGTTTGTCAGTCATTGGCAGGTGTCTGTGTCAGAACTTCTCACCATTTGCAAGTCAATAGGAATACAAAAGAAGCTTGAAACAGGTAGCTGTGACTTAAAAGGTCAATTGTAAGTGAGAATGGAGGTCAACTCAGAATAACCTCTAAAACTTTAAAACTTATCTTGAATGCACCAGAAAGCAAGCTGTAGTTACCTATGGACACAAGCCCAATGCCCGTTGACACAGGCCCTTAGTGCCCCGTCTAGAAGCACATGCTCACTTCTGAACAAAACTTACTACAAATTACTGATACCTCCAAGTCTTGTTCTTTGCATCTGATCCTCTGTACATTATTTCTGGACATCCGTAACCAGGGGTGCTCTTTTATGCAAGTACCACCCAGCTTCCTGATCCATGGTGCTGGCCCCAACCCTTCTTTTCCCTTGCCCTTTACTATTGGTTTAGAGGCACCACCCATGACATGGGCCAGTGATAAGCTAAATTACAGAGCTACACATGGAATCAAATGAAGCATACAGACCCCTAAAGGTCTCTGCTATTCACATTAAATAATGATCGAGGAAAAACTGTTTTACATTTGAACCATTACCAGGTAAAAAAATATAGTAGAGTTTCAACCTCCCTCATAGTTTTCTGTTTCACAGCATCATATTTGTAACTACAGTACATGTGCTGAGCAATTGTACCGTGACTGTGTAATGACATATTTTAGAGTGAAATTGACCTAGAAAGAAGTAATAGTAGATAATCTTTGAAGGGATACTGTGAAGCCCAAAGCAGTTAATCATATTTTAAGGATAAATAAGAAAAGTAACGCAAATATCGAATTAACTGCCATGGGCGACCCAAGCACTTTGTTCTGAACAGAAACGCTTTATGACTGACGTCTACCGTCAGTGGTTTGGAACATGTTACTGAGTTGGCAAAGCTGCATGTACAGTGCTGAAAGAGACCTATATAATGTGCATGTGCTACTTTTTTCAGGGCTGGCAGAAGAGTCTTGAAGAATCCCAGAGATCATTTCAACTGCTGACATCATACCCATTAACTTTAATAGGAGCTTAGCATAGATCTCTATTTAGCTGTATCACACCTCTACAAATATCATTCCTCTTCTTTCCACTTCAGTAGCTTCCAAGAGAGACTCTACCAGGAAAGGTCAATTGCCCTAAATATTGATTATTTTTTAATGCAGCATCAGATGCAAAATTTAACAAGCTGCAGAACTAAGAAAATGGTGGTAATGCCAGAATGTAAAACAATCATATCAAACAAAACCCCTCGACCTTTGCCATTATTTCTGTGTTTTGTTTTACAAGTTCTAGGCCAGACCTCTTGACAAATTTGATGGCCTTCTACCCCCCAAACCCTCTGCAGTTACCGTCTCAGGGTTGGCCAGTTTTGAGCAGCCTGTTCAAGCCATATGCTGCTTTCTACTGTTCAGCATCCTGCATCTACTGTAAACAGTTTTATCAACGTGCCCTTTCGGAAGAGCCTTTTTATGGCATTATATTGGAGGATGGTCATCCAGCTTATAAAAAGTTGGACTGGGTTGAATGGGTATTCATTTAATTTTGCTGACTTGGTCATTTTAGCAATTTTTTTTTCATTGATAAACTGTTTAACTTTCATCAGTGCAGTTTTTTAAACCGTACAACTCCTCAAACGCCAAAGCCACTTAACACCCTTTAAGTGACCCTGTTGCTAAAGTTACTTAAATTAGATATACCTTTAAACAAGTGTCTACGTACTTACCTTTCCTGCTGAACGCCATTCCACTCCTGAGACATGGGTCCCCTGCAGCTTGCACTGGCTCCTCTTGCTGCCTTCCACATCATCATAGGAGACTGTAGGGCCACCGCCGTGATATGCAGATGATCCAGAGGTAAATAAGCAGCTGTGGGGAGGCTTAGTACCGTCAGGAGGACTCAGAGGTGGATTAGCTCAATTTAGATAATCCTAAACTTATCATTTAAATCAGGGGTAGCCAAACTCTGGCCCTCCAGCTGCGGAACTACAAATCCCATGAGGCATTGCAAGATTCTCACAGACATGACTCCCGGAGAGAGATGCATCATGGGATTTGTAGTTTCACCACAGCTGGAGAGCCGGAGTTTGGCTACACTTTGTTTACACTCCGGTATAACATACCTCAACCTGCACAGTGGAAGCCATCAAGACTACCTTTGTCTTGAAAACAGAGATTACAACTAGATTTCGCTCAATGACTGAAAAACGTATGCTGCTATAGTTACAATATAGTAACGTAATGTCACTAACTATTTTAAATTAGGCTAATAGTAAAAAAAAAAAATCAAATTACATTTTTTAAAAATTTAGCATGAAAAAGTCTACTTAGAACACCAATTACAACCCATGTGACAAAATTGCCGTTGACCAGTGATACGTGAGACATACAAATGATTCATGTGAAAAATGATTATGTGCGATGGATTTTATTCACACCATTACTTTCTATAGTCTTCCAAGTGCTTCCCAAATATAAAAAGCTGTGAGCTGTATTTCCAAATAATTTCTAAAA